ACCCTGAACCCCTAAACCCGAAACTCCTAAACCCCTAAACCCTGAACCCCTAAACCCGAAACTCCTAAACCCCTAAACCCTGAACCCCTAAACCCCTAAACCCGAAACTCTAAACCCCTCAACCCCTAAACCCTGAACCCCTAAACCCGAAACTCCTAAACCCCTAAACCCTGAACCCCTAAACCCGAAACTCCCGTCTTCCGCGCCGGCAGGAAGGTCCTCGAGGGATCCTTCAAAGAGACGCTGCGCCCTGCGCCCGGGCCTTGGGGATGTTGGCCTTGAGGGATCCTTTAAGGGGATCCCTTTAAGGGATCCTTTTAGGGATCCCTTTAAGGGGATCCCTTTGAGGGATCCCTTTAAGGGATCCTTTTAGGGATCCCTTTAAGGGGATCCTTTTAGGGATCCCTTTAAGGGATCCTTTTTAAAGGGATCCCTTTAAGGGAAAGTATACCTCTGATTATACAAGGTTCCTTAAGGGATCTTTAGGGATTATTATAGGGGTTTCTATTTCCTTTGAGGGTTCCTGGAGTTTTGGATTTGGGGTATGCGCTGTGTTCCTCGAAGGCGTTCTTTGGCAGGTGGAAGGGACATTTTATTTTTGTCGGTTTGGGGACTTAACCCTAAACCCTAAACCCTAAACCCTAAACCCTAAACCCTAAACCCTAAACCCTAAACCGATTAAGATTAGGGCTTCGGGGAGGCAGGTCCCCTCCTAGGGCGTGGAACTCTGACTGCAAGATCAGAGAGCATCGCAGGGAACTGCAACAAAAAAAGAAAAAAAAAAGAAAAAAAAAAAAAAAAAAAGAAGGAAAAAAAAAAGGTCTCCTTCCTTTTTCTTTTTTTTTTCTCACCTCTCCTCCAAGTTCGTCCCCGAGCTTTCTCCCATGCCGCTGCCACAGAGCATGTTGTGCTGGGGGGGTTCTGGAGTTGTGTTTGCGTGGTAGTGTCCCCAATCCTGAAGTTGGCCCCGACCCTAAACCCTAAGCCCATTGAGCCCCAACCCCTCCAAATCGCAAGCCTCTTCAGCCCCAAAAACTGCGAGAGGCTGCTCGGTTGAAGCCTTGTAGGCTCGTCTCCAGACTTTGGGAACCGCTTCAACCCTAAGCCCCAAACCTTAAAC